AGAGGAAACTGCCCATCTCTCTCCCTTAGAGCCTCTAGTGGATTCCAACCTTTAGAAAAGTGCTCCTTTTAAAGTTAGCAACCCAGCTCTATCCTCTTGGCTACCAGAAGTCCCTAAGAAAAAAAGGGTAAGAAAAAATTTGCATAGAGCTGCATCAAAATGTCACTCGTGAAATGATGAGCGGGTGTATATTTGTCTTACCGCTTTCTACACTGGTAAGGGTATATTTTTTTTTTTTAATTTCCTGCATGAATTGAACGCTATATACCTGCATCTATGAGGTTGCCAAGCAAGACTGAAAGTGAAGAGGGAAGAAAATGGAATTTTTTACAGCAAGTGAAATGACTGCGGTGCAGTCATACAGCTGCTTCAATGCCTTTGACAATATGATAAAAAGCTGTACAAACTGCTAAAAGTCTTCATTTTCCTGAGTTTGTCCCACGTTGAGAAAAGTCAGCAACAGCACAAATAAGAAAGAATGAGGATTTTGGCAGATGGTGTCTACATTAAAGCGCTTACACTTCTTCTGACTCCCTTTCAATTTCCTCTCCCCTCAGGGCCCAACATCCACCGTTGTCCCTCCCTTCCTCTCTCTTCATGTCAGAGAATGGCAAGTATTAAACAGCAGGGACGGGACACAAAGGTCACCATGCTCTTCTACCTTGTGCTGATAACCTGTTGTTGGTAGGAGCCATTAAGCCAATCACAAATCAAAGCAATTCTAGGACACCTGATTGAAATCTTGCCCCATCCTGTACCTGGACTAACGAACTATGCCAAGTTCAACCCCAGCTCAGCCGTCACTGGGTCAATGCATCTTCCAGAGGGTCTACCTCTCTTTTGATGACCCTTCCTTTTCCAAGTTGATGTATTTTTCCCCAAGTACCGCTTTCTGGTCACAAAATGTCCAAAGCATGTGACATGAAATAAAACTCAAGTCAGCCTGAGAACAAGGAACTAGAATCAAGTAATAAAAACAGCACACGTGACATGAGGTGAGCCACTGGTTGCTCTGCTGACTGTGTGCTGTATTTTACTCCTCACAATTCATAAAGGAGGACTCGTGCTATAAAGTATGATTACATCTCCTCTCTGAAGAAGAGGAAACAAAGAAATATGATGAAGAATGAGCTCACAGAATCATCCTGGAGAGCTGTGGAGCCGGGACTCCAATGCTAGTTTCCACACTTACTATTTATTACTAGTCCAACTGGGAATGACTACAGTACTAGTCATTAGCTCAGCAATTGGCCATTAGTGTCAGTATTCACCATTTCTTTAAAACATGATAAAATCCACGGTAAAGCCTTTCAAAAGAATGCAGAGTCTGGTATTTATAAAATCATGAATATTATTTCTAATGATAGTAGCTAAGCAGAACTATATGGTTTGTAATCAGATTAGTCAAATTTGACTTTGGCATGGAACTTGAGCAAAATGACCAAAAGATAAGGCCTACGACTTCATATAAGGTTCTGTATTTTCCAGGAAGAGAAAGAAAAGGAAGAGAGAGAATATCACAGTCAGAATAGAAAGAAACAGTATTTGGAGTTTTCCCTTTTCAGTTCTGTTTCAAAAGCTACAGTCTCTTAAGGAAATGTTGAATAAAATACTAACCCCCTGACAAATCCATATAAATTTCTACATAAATATACAGTATTTCTTTATTGCTAAATATAATTATGCTATTTCTATTATATAA